AAAAACATTGATCTTTTGTAAGAGGATATTGGGGTGGATCTGGTTGCATTGTTAACTCTAATAATCCTTTTGGAAATAATGGGATACCTTCCCTTAACCATTTTATCACTAAACTCGAAGCCTGTATTTTTCTGACCCAATAAATCACATGTTCTTCCATATGTACACGACCCACTACTGATATCTTTTGTTGCATCCAAGCGTAGTCATTCATATTTGGCACCATCTTGCTGCTTATTGTATCTATTTCTATAGACTGCATAACCTCTTGACTGGTATCCAATTTGGTTGTTGAGTTGTTGGTTTGGGGTTCTGTTTGGGTCTGAGATGCAGGATTTAGCAAAGTGGCCGTAGCCTCCACAAATATAACATTGGTTTTGCTTTGATGTGGTGTATCGTTGTATTTGGTAACTGGGACGAAAAAACTTATTTGTGTTTTGATAATTGTCTTGGTAGTTATTATAGTAACTATTTTTTCCCTGCAGATATTCTAGACCTTTTCCGATACTGTAAGTCTTTTGTCTCTTGTTTCTTTTGACTTCTGCTATTGCTTTCGCCTTTTCGATTAATGAATCTTTTCCCTTTAGCCAATTATCTTGAACATTAGGTAATGCTGAAGCTATATCCCAACCGAAGCCTTCAGCCACCCTCAATGTAAACATTCTGTCCTCAGTTTTGTCTCTAGCGAAATTGATATGGTTTGCGACATCAGTTGTTGTTCTGGATTCCATTGCCAAGTCAAGCTCTTTTCCGATAGATCGCAATGCATCATACTCATGTTGATCCCGTGATTTATCAAATTTATGCTTTGGCCAAGATTCTTTTACTTCAGCCCTTTGTTTTGTTTCTTGCACTTGACGTGTTACTGCATTTAACTTTTCATCAAATTTTAATAGAGCATTTTCTAATTTTTCAAATCCTAACAACACTTTATCTTCTAGGGATCCTGAGGGACCTTCTTCTGCAAGTGACTTCCGCTTTTTAGTTTCCCTATATGTTT